ATATCACCGAGTATAGTAGTGAACGGCATGCGTAAGGCTGGTGCTGTGCACCGATCGCGAGGTTTATAATTAACCCCAAAAGCAAAATGCCGGTGCGGTGCAGCGGTCGTACTGCAGGGCAGGGCAGGGCAGGGCAGGGTCGGAACCAAAGATGTCAGATGGAGAAAGCGATACAAACGAGTTGACCTAGGCTAAGCTTAAGCAAGAGACGAGATATGTACAGTACGGTTGACGGTGGACGGCGTCTCTCGTGGTCGAGTCAAGCTAGTAGTGGTGGGTTCAAGGTTGCTGGCGGTGGCTTGGGGCTGGCGGCGGTTAACTACTGGCGAGGAGGGGCGGGCTGCTGCTGCTGCTTGTTTGCTGCTGCTTGCTGCGGCACTGCGGGCTGTAAGTTATGTATCAAGTCGTGGACGGACTTCCGAGGCTGGAGATCGGCAACCGTTGCGAAGAAGAAAATGACTGCGCCAAAGTCTATTTTAAATTGTTCTTGGTTTTTGTGTCACGCTTGGCTTACTATATCGTTTCTTTGTTTCTTCATTTTATGACGGGTAAGAAGGGGATAGTTGAGAGAAACACGCCCATTGGTTCGTTCGCATGCTGATCGTCTTGTTGAGGGATGAGTTACACGATCTTCGGAATGGATATCCTTGGCGGGTTAAAATAGATTGTAAGTTAACTGTACATACTTTATGCTGTAAGGTTTTGATTTATTATCGTTTTTGATATCTCATTTCGTACTCGTTCGGTCACAGGGTATAGTTATATCAAGATGAACAAAGAAAAACCAACAAAAATGGGGCGTGACAAATACAAGAAAACGCTACCATGCAGATCGTCGAACGTAGTCCAGCCCGGCGTATCATTAGCCCAAAGGAATTAAGAAAGAGCAAAAAAAAAAAAAAAAAAAAAAAAAAAAAAAAACCAGCAAAAAAGCTCCAACCAAGCCATAATGCGCCTCAACATGCTTCTCGAACCCACCGATGCATTCATAACAAAAACAATCATTTTCTGGTCTCACCAGCCAGGCTCTGAGGCGATGAACGAGGCCAGACTCGTCGTCGTGTCTGCGAAGGCTCAGATATTCGTGGCCGCGCAGCCAGGCCACTCCGGTCCCGGTTCTGCGCATCAAGATATCGCAGCTGCGCTTCGCACTGCTGTGGAGTGTACTGCCCGGCACCAAGCTCCCTCATCTGAGATCAGAGAGACATAGTCAGCATCTCGTAAAACCCTCTTTCTAGCTGGTGGACTCGATGCTCCTTACCTTTTGAGCAATCACATTATACTTCTCGTGCTCCCAATAATCCCGAGCCCGGATGAGTAGGCGGATCTGAATGACTTCGCCGTTAATGATTAGTTGACAATTTGAGGCCTGCGGACGGAGCACGTACTCACATCGTTCTCGTCCCACCGGGCCAGGCGCTCCTTGCGCCGCCGTAGCATGCGCATCTGCAGCCGCGCCTCGGATGCATCCTTATGGAACTTCTCCCGGAACATTTCGCGGATGACCTTCCATGCGAGGTTCTGTTCCCGCAGTCTCTCCACGAATGCGTCTTCCTCCTCCGCCTGCGGGTCCCTGCGCCCCCTTCCGGGGGCTCGAGGCCGCTGTTGCTGCTGGGCATCGGCTGCCCCTTGTCTTCGCTCCTGTTCCAGTCGCTGGAGACCTTCGGGGTTGGGAAGTATCGTGACGGGGGCCTCCCGAGGCGTGGCGGCCTGCTTGGGCTCGCGCCTGGCCCTCTTTGCCGGCGGGGGCCGGGGCGAGTGATCCACCTCGCCTAGACCATATCCGGGCTGATCTATGGCATGTCCGAGGCCCGCAGTCACAGTGCGAGGGAAGTTGCTCGGAAAGGGAGCCGTGATACCTAGCCCTTGAGATGGAATAGTATCGCTGATATTGTATTGGAACTCTTGCGAATGATGACTGAGTACCGGACTCGGCCTGAAAGAGCTGTCGGGGAGGCTGATAGGGGTGAGGATGGAGCCGGTGGGGAAGGCTGTAGTTGTAGTATATGGATGGTTGATTCCTCCATAAGGCGACTGCATCGACTCAGAGCTGGTCAGCTTCAAGTGGCTCGTCTGTGGGGATTGGTTGACTATGCAACATACAGCTTCCAATCCGGTCCACTGCGGCTGCATCACTGCATAGAGGTCCTCAATTCCCTCCCCGGGGTTGACACCACCATGACTGAAGGTCATCGGCCCCGAGTAGCCGAGTGAGGTTTGTGGGTACATGATGGAAGCCAGTGGGGGCTCTTCGTTGTTGAAGGACGGAATGGTGAATGATTGTCTTGAACAGTGATTGAAACAGGGAAGGAAGGATATGAGTCTAGCTGGGGAGCGGTGGCAAGGTCCAACAAGATAAATAGGCTGTCAGGCCGCCAATAGCAACGACAAAGATGATCCGAGATTAATCCACACCTCTCAAGATGGAAAGATTATAGTATAAGAAATTGTAGTGGCCTGGTTGAAAGCGGGAAAGGTATGAAAGGGCGTATCGATGATAGAGTCTTCGCGTGTTCATATATTTGTAAAATAATAAAAAATAAATTAAAGGAATGTGAAAGAAAGTTCGAAATGCCTCGCGAGGCAGGGCCAGAAGCTTGAAGCTTTTTTTTTGTATATCAACGGACTCAATGAGCTTTGATGGCCATAGTAAATACCGCCCACTATTGCTGTGCCGCACAAAATTGTTCCTGGCGGGAGGTGTAAGGTCGACGATGGGCCTGCTTTTAAGCGCCTGATCATTTCTGATAGAACAGTGCCATGCTCTGAAAGGGGAGAAAAATGGAAAGGATTATCTCTCATGGTTGCTCACGACATGAGAACGGAGACAATCCAGCCCCCAAAAACCCTCGGGGGGCTCAGACTTGCATCCCCAGGCCCACCCACCGTTACTCAAGAGCAAGGCAGCATCTACTACTGCGATCTTAGTGCCGATGTCCTGGATCTCTGGGTTAGGGATCGTAGAATTATGTCAGTCCGAAACGAGCGCGGATTGACGTTGTTGCAAAGCCGCTTAATCGCCATATCAAATGGTAGCCCATAGGTTAGCGCTTGAGCTGACCAGTACATAGATGGGACACCGCCACCGATGCAGAACTGTCCCAAAAGAGCATACAGAAAACACAATTTCAAATCATGATCTGCTCCCTAAACTCAAGATGGACATTGAGAAAGTATGCTAGAATACCAGAGAGAAAGCAGTCATTATTGTCAAAGGGCCGACGGGCAGATGAACGCATCGCAGCTCCTGTAGCGGCTACGAAATGTGGAGAGCGAAGTAGACCGGACGAATTGAGAGGCTGCTAAAGGTAGCCCCAAGGACCGAAAGTCATCAGCCAGGATCCTCGTGCTTGCCTAGTAGACGCAGCTAAATCCTGTTCGGAAAGCTCTGGGATAATACGGTCAAGCGAAACCACGGGGAAAAGAAAAATACTATCAAGGAACAGAGTCAAAACTCCTTTGGGGCAGGGATCCTACGGGCAGGGTTAGGCCATTAAGCGCTTCGTCGTGATTGCGGCTGTAAATCCTGGTGGATCAAAATGGGTCGGAACTAAACCCAGGCTGGCCAGGCTTGTCATACTCAGGCATGCTTCTGCGATCTTCGACTTCGCCTTACGGAACGCTCGTTAAGGAAAACGTGGAAAAGACAAAAAAAAGAAAGAAAAAAAAGAAGAGAGAAAAAATAAAACAAAAGGCTGACCACCAAAGTCGGTCTCGCTGCCGGCCCTGAAATAAACGGATGGAAAGTTTGTTTTGAAGCATGGCCTCTTTTCATCTCTTTTCTTGTTCCCTTAGACGCATCCATCCGGCCTCGTCGAGACACGGCTGTTTTGGAGGGGGAGGGAGTATTATCCAGAGATTAAGGCTCAAGACGTGACCGTTCGCATACTCAATTCGAGCGGCTGTCTGCATCCTATCCAAGCCACGTGTCTTAGGGGAAAACGCGCGATTACGCGCCAGAAGCGAAGGGGACAGCCTCCTCGCGAGATTGCTATCGGGGTATCTGTCCATCATCCATCGCCGACATCAAGCCGTTCGTTCGTTCGTTCGGCGCGGATCCCGCACTGGGAATGTCAGTTGAAAAGAGCAACTGTTTACTGTATCTGGCAAGCTAGGCAAGCCATCACATTCTTCTGGAAAGATGCACGGCAATCTCGTCCCGTCAATTTCCCGGGTGTGTGTTTCTCCTGGCACCCTTGCATTTTGGCCCTATGGAGGGGGTTGTGTCCGGTGTATCATGATTGCGACCATCGCATGGGTCGCACAAGTCGCCATGTGGTCAAGGGAAGATCGTCGCTCTGCCTGTCAACCGATCGGAGACCCCGTGATGCACACGTGATGTCACGAACTCCCCATCGCTTTCCCTTTTCAAGCATAGTGTCGTCAAGTAGTATCCCACTTCATCATTTCCGCGCTTCAAAGGATGAACGGCCATGTCCGCTAAACAATAAAGGATTCTATTTTTGCTCCATGGGGATCTGACGGAGAAGGTTTCCCCCCCCCCCCCCTCCATCATGATGATGACAGGCCACACACCCGGCTATGCCGAGTAATGCAAGGTTGTTCCCTAGGCGTTTTTTGCCCTTCAAACCCGAAGGGAGAGAAAACAAATCGGCCCCCTCCCCATAGTCTCTGCTTGCGCTGTCCACACACGTAATACCCCTTTCGCTTTGTAACACTTTTCGCCCATTTGCTGCATCGATGCACAGATCCTTAAACACCTAGCCGTGGCTATGGCCAGGCGCAGCAATGTGCTTTGGAGATCAAGTCTGAAACATTGGGTCCGTCTGTTAAAACCTGTTTCATCCCCACGTCGAAGCCCGTCTCGGATGACTTCATCCCAATCCTGCAATAGCATACTGCCATACTGTGAACATTCGAATGCTGATGCTGAGAATGTTCTAGTCCCAACAAGGTATAGATGATCGGTCGTCGCTCGACACTACTGCGCTTTCTAGAAGGATTTGGAATCGCGGAAATTAGTTGACGTGAAAGAGACACTAAAGATGATGAACAGTTCGCTTTGGAGATAGGATGACATGCAGGCAGGGTCGAGAGACCAAATTGCACCCAAGAGAGAGTAAGCAGAGACGTAGATCTGCATCAGAGAAATCTATATATGGCCCAGAAAAAATCAATCAATTCAAACTCCGCTCCCAGTGGCCCCAGAAGAGGTCTTGTTCGCTTGATATACCGGAGCGTCATCTTCCTCATCCGAGAACCCTTCTAAGCTGTTATCATGGCTCGAGCCATGAGTTCGAGGCCGTTGATCCTCCAATGTGTCATCGGCGGAGACCGAAATCCCTCTTGCGCCCCATCGGTTGTTCTTTGGCCTCTCCCCATTGACCCTCTCTTCTTCAAAGTCATCATCATTCAAACTCTGCTCCTCATCCGCCACCCTGCGCTGTCTGAAATTGAGCACCTTGCTAACAAGCCAGCTGTGGCGGAAGTCGTCCGAGTCAACCACCCCTCCGTTACGAAGCTTCACACGCTGGCGAGAGTAGTAAACCCAAGCAAAGTCGATATAAAAAGCTGTCTGGACAAGCCCAAATATGTCGGCAATCGGCTCCCAAAAGCCCTCGGCACCCAGTCCGCGCACAAGCCAGTTCAGAATATAGAATGCTCGGTATGATCCCAGCATAAGCAGGTAGTACGAGTCGATGACAGTCGGAACGGTGGTCTGGCGCAAGAGGAGCAATTGGGGGAGGACACAGACAGATTCAAGGATTATAGAGAAAGCCCAGCATGTCTACTCATTGCAAGACACATTCTGTCAGTACTGTGACACTCACAGATAGAACATCCACGATTCAGCTTACCTCAGTGAACCACCGACCAGATTTGTACTCCTTGAATATGGCAAGGGAGATAGGAGCCAGGACAAGCGACAGACCAACAGAGATCAAGCCCATTTTCCATGCTCTCTCCTTCTCCCGTGTGCGAGGGAAGACTTTCATCATCAAAAAGATGACATAGAACGACGTTACAGTATAGAAAATTTTGAAGAAGACAAGATAGAAAGATCCCCAGGCCTCTTTTCGAAAGAGGTCAAGATATCGAGTGACGAAGACCAAGGCATAGAGCATCTGTGTAAGGAGCGAAACACCTGCATTGTAGTACAGTTTGTTAGCATCATGGATGGTCTAGCCTCGTGTCACGCCGTACTTACCTTCAGCGCTCTTGTTCCGATGTATGGCCCATATTAGGACGCATTTCGACCCGAGGTGAGAGAAGTCGCCCAGGGCGCGGAACAGGTTCATGTTGATGTTCACCATGATTGCTTTTGTATATAAAAGCTGGCCAGTAGGTTTAGGCGTCCAGCTTCACAGTCCGAGATACCTCACGAGCCTCAACTGTCACCGCTGAGGCTATCAAGCAGGTCACCGAAAGACAGTGTGACTAACTGTGGACCGTGCTTCGTTTATCAGCAAGGCCCGGTCGGGGGTATATGGGTTGTCGTCCCGGATTATGTTGTAGATATGAGAGAGGTGCACCTGGCAACCTGGTTATAATAAGAGGACAGATGCAACAGGACCCTTGGAAACGGGGCTATATATAGCTTGAAACAATAGAGATGGTAAAAGTGGTCGTTGTGAAGCTCAGCGATGGTTCCGTCTTATCTGGTCTCAACGAAGGGGGAAGCTCCGTTCACCGTCACAGCGGGATCCACCTCAAGGCGCCGCAAGAAGCTGGGGATGTTCCCGTGGCCGCGTGTCCAGCACGTGATCGAGCAGCTACCTGTCAGGCGTATGACGTCAGCATTTACCTATCGCTTCAGTATAGCTTCACAATTATCAGATTATGTTCTTATTCATGCTGGAAGGCGGTTCTGAGGCGTATATATGCTGGGTAAAGCTGCTGTTCCTAAATACCCTACTATCATCTCTTAGTCGGCTCCTGCTGCCATTATTGTTTGTGTCAATGGGATCGACGTATCATCAAGCCTGTCACCGCTTCTTTTGAGACCAGCTCCCAAGGCATGCGAGGCATACCACTAGCTCCTTTTCAGCCTGCTTGGGTATCCTAGGCGATTGTTTCAAGATATGCTTACAAGCTTTGAATCAATGAACAACCGCCAAGGTTCATTGATAGCCAACCCAAAGATGCATGGATCTGTTATGAAGCTCATTGGTTTCAAATATTGAATGGGATGAACCTCAACTATTCAGGCAGGTATATTCCTGTCGGCGGGAAATGTAATTATTTGTTGTGAGTCAAAGGGATCTTCCCTACTTGGAGGAACAGATGACATTCTGGTATTGCGACTTCCACGGACTCATATGCCAGTCCGTTCTATATGAATCGTAGAATGGTTGCTTCGATTTTAAACACATGATCTCATGATTGAATGCACGCTGAAAGCTCATGGGGACACTAATGGGGAGCTAGACCGAACTAAATACAAGACATGTTCTTGTATTGTGTAGCCAATGCTCAACCACCAGCACATGTGAGCGGGAGTTAAACCACAGAGGCATGGGAGGCTTAGTGCTCCCCATAGAAATAGCTTTTAGACCTGAACTTATGAGTAACAGACGAGCTTCCTCCTAGAGGACTGAGTTCGGCGTACGTAGTGATCTCGATGTCTGGGAAAGGGATAAATACAGTGAGCGCTTGGTCAGAATATCAGTTTCATGCATTTGACATGCGGTCCTCCAAGCAAATAGGCTGATTTATACATGCGACAGGAATGATCAATTCTATTCTGCTCCGATCCATGTCACCGTATCCGATATGTTCTGCACATGCTATCAGCTGCGATGGGAAAGTTGTATATGAGCGATAACTTTCGACTAAATCGCCGCAAATCGTTGATATAACTCCTCCAGATGCATGAGTTCTCAAACGAACCCAAAGCATTGTTAATTTGTAGAAACCCCTCGCTCATGGTCGTATTCAGCCGTCCAGAAACATTTTCTGCACAGCGCCTCATCTTATAAGTTCCGCCATGGACGTGATAGCAACAAGCCCAAGCCAAGTTGCCCGACTGCCAATATCCTCGGTAGGACGATACTCAATAAGAGCTCGCAGGGGGTCAAATAACGGTTCACGGACCTACCGTAGATCTTTTAAACCCGCCTAGGAGGGAGCCAACTGGGCGGGCGTAGATAAGATGCATACCTTGAAAACCTGGAGATGCAGCATTGCGGACTCGGGCGGGCACCGGCCTACTTCTTTAGCAAGGTGAAAGTTCCAGATCGCAGCAGCGGCGAATCTTGCATTTAGGAATGTCCAGACCATGTCTAGAATACGCGGGACAGCGAAAAGACCGCAGGACCAAGATTGGATGGAAGCAACCGAGACGGAGGACGGATCATTGGAAACACGGGAGCCCTAGTGGGAGTTCAGGGATTCTTACCCCGCTCCCAGCGTATCCCGTCAGGAGCATCTGATTGGGAAGGAGGAGGGAGAGGCTGGAGCCCACGTCGACACTAGAATTCATCATCCTTGAGCCTTCGAGATTTGCTTTTTTGGATTCTTTTTTCTCTGGTGTGCCAAGGTCAATGATTGCATACCAAAAAAATGTTCGTTTCAAGTTGTAGTCTTGCTCACGGTCACCAGATACCAGGTAGTCCAGACCCCGCTCCCTCACTGGCCTTGTCCACCCGCTTGACCTACCTGGACACTGCAGCGACGCCAGGTTAACCTGGCGAGAACAACCGAGACGGCGGGCTATATGGAACGTATGGAACGTATGTCGCCGCCACCAGCATCATCGCTCCCTGTCTTGTTTGTTGGAAGACAGGATTCGAAGGTGCGATTTGTGGCTGATGGATGCGCTGGAATTGAGCTTCGATTATGGTATGGCCGCAACAACCCAAAGTGGTCGTCTGAAGACAATAGATACTGTGGAATGACATGCGCGGGATACAACGTAGTCGGTTGGTGAGAGAGAACGGAACAAACGGAGAGGAACTCGAAGTAGTATAGGTAGGTGCCTTGTGTATGAGTACAAGGATGAGTAGGTAGGCGTCAAAGGCCAGACGCACCACCCCTCCTCCTCTGTCATCCTTTTCCCTCCCCTCCCCCTCCCCCTTCCCCTCCATAGGTCATAACGGGGCGTAGGGTCTCTGCCGTTCTTTTTAGAAAATCCATTCGGAATTTCGACCGATCAAAGAGGGGAAATTGCTGCTGGCAATGGGGCTCGGGATCTGTACGGTACACTGTTTTTGTCAAAGCGAAACCACTCGATCTAAGACTGGCTTAAAGCGGGATAGGAGGGGGATTACTTCTTTTGGCATAATGAGACCATGCAACGGTGTGCAGAAACCATCTCCTGTCCGCCTTCTTGGTGAACTATCAATTGCCAGGTAGAACGTGAGTGAGTGAGTGAGTGAGTAGGGGAGGTAATCATTGACTTTATCCACGCTTGCTTAGGAGAAGAAAAAGCAAACACGAGTCGGAGCTCGCGGGATTGGTGAAATGGAAGCTGCTTGGCCATGGAGTGGATTCGGATCTCCCCTCAGCAGTAGTCAGTCTTGTCTTGTCTTGTCAGTCAGTCAGTCAGTCAGTCACTTGCCGTTGATTCGTCTTCTCTCGCCTTGCACTTTCGCAGTTGCTGGTCTTTCTCCTGCACTTCTTTTCTTACCATTCTTTTTCTCTCTGTAGGTTCGTCTCGTTTCTATTTTTCTTCTTTTAGCTCACGGCGAGGAAAACAAATCCTCCCTCTCTTCTCCCTCCCTCCCTCTCCTCACCCGAATATTCCCTTAGTATACCTTACCTTCCAATCCGCGTACCGGCACTCCTCCCTCCTGCAAACCGCTAAATGTAAAGGCATGTATGTATCTTTGACCTCGAATCGACTCGATCTTGCCTGCTTATTTACTTGCTGATCATCTCTTCTACGCCAACGATCAGAACGACGACGATCATCCTGACTACTGACTACTGACTACCCTTCCCTAGCGACTGCCAACCGGCCTAGCATTCCGATTGATTGTCGACCAACATCTACTACTATACTACTCTCATTATCCTCCTCACTACTTCTTACTTACCTGCCTGCCTACTACTACTACTCTCCTGATCGGCCTCAATCCGTCACTTAGTCGACCTCCAAGCAACGAGACTGCTACTTCGTGTCTACCTGTTTGAAAAACCCGCGAAAGTTTTCGAATCATGAACTTCGACCAGTAAGCCTTTCTTTGCACTCTGTGTTGGTCTCCATCTCCACTTGTCCTGACCAGAACGTCTTATCATCGCAACTCCAGTATTCCTCCGTACTATTTCCAGCCTATGTATCCTAAGATGCTCGAGAGGTCTACTTGTGATTGTGCCTAAACCTGTTTATATTTGTTTTCTTTTTGCCCTTGACTTGCCCTTTCTCTCCTCTTTCCCTCCCTCCCTCTATCTAGTTTTCACTTCCCCTTTCTTTCTTTTATTCTCTCCTCGTGTTGCTCTCCTTCTTACTCAGATTCGTGCGCCATCTCCAGGTCCCTCGCTGCCGACCACTTCCACACATGCATGTAACATTTTTGTCGACTCTCCCCTTCACTCCTGACGTCCAGCCTCCCTTCCTGCGGCGCTACTACCATGCCATATGATGCACTGGTGTCATCGTCACTTTGGTGTAACCAGGCGCTCGCTTCCCTAGACATGACAGGACGATCTACACGGAGCGTTCCTTGAATAGCAGATTTGCTAATCTCCTAAGCGTGTGTACTTACAGATGAATCAACGGAGCGTGATTGGGAGAACTGCATATCCTCAACCATGTCGTAAGTCACCCTTCGTCCTCCCAAGCCCCAGCAAAGCTAGTCTTAGGGCTGCGAAAAAGGCTCCAGGGTTGCTCTCTGTCCATATATACCTTTGACGAACCATCCCCCAACCCCGGTCATGTGCTTTTCATTCTTGCCTTATGTTTTTGTTTTTCCTATTCACCTGGGGCTTTTGCCTGTCCTTATCTGCTGATTCATAAATCGACTGGCTCTTTCCGTCATTTGTTTTATTATTATTGGGGTCGTTATTATTTCTTGTTTTTTTGTTATTATTGCTCAGATTATCCTTCCGATTACTTCCATCATCCTTATTCGGCTTCTTATCTACTTCAGCCCTGTATCCTCGCTTCTGCGACTTCCGCGTATTTATTAATTTTTCTTTTTTTCCCCTTTCATGTATTAGTCACGTCTCTGACACTGACGCCCTCGGGCTCTTCTAATGACAATAGGTCTCCTTCAACATCGAAACGAATTAAGACCTCCGTCCCCGCCAACGCACCATCCCATCTGTTAGCTCCGCAACAAGTCAATCCCTACTCACGAGTGCCTTCATACGAGGGCATTCCTATGCCCCAAACTCAGATTCCTCCGCCGAACCCGCGCAAACGCCGTGCTTCGCCCCAAGCAGGCACCACCGCGGCCATGCCAGCTTCAGGCGCGACCGGAGCTGGAGGCGAGCCCGGGCATGAACAGGGGTCCGGGATAC